ATTGATTTTTTATTTGACCTTTCTTAACCAAATAGAAAGATAGTGAAGTTTATATTAATAAATACATCATTGTGTTTTGTTTAGTGATAAAAAAATCTCATAAAAAATCTAGAAAAATTGGTCTAACATCTCTCTCCAACTTTTAGTAATGAGAGAGGTCCACAATAAATTATTTTGTAGTCTAAGGTCCCTCACCCATACCTATATATAACACCCACTCTCTTATTCTCTCTCATCTTTCTTCTTGCACCAAACAACTCCTTTCTCTCTCTTCTCTTCGTCCGCAGCATTGTTCAAAGCTTCATTGGCATTGACTACAACGGAGGAATTTGCACTAGTAAGATTTATAAAGCTTTGCCGATGGAGATCGTCGATTTATATAAAGATTCTTGATAGTGCTTTATACAACAAGATTTATATGAAGCAGAGCATTAGTCCTCATTGTTGTTCCCCTGATCACTAGTCTTCCGATAAAAATTCCTCCGTCGACAAATATCACTACCCTCGGAGGACAAATATCAAGAAGCAGAGCACTAGTAAGATTTATAAAGCATTATAGCAAATACGAAAGCAAAAACAAAATGCATCAGTTACATATCTACAAGCACAACTGGAAAATATTCATCATTGCTTCTCTTACTTTTTTCTTGTTTCTTCTTCATTGTCTTTATTGTTGATCTCAATCAACTAAATCTTAAAATCTTCATACATAATTCAATGAAGAAATCCACATAAAAAGATGTATTCGGGAGCTGGGGACATGGATTCAATACACAAGGTGTTTGATAAAATGCGAAGGAGAGAATTTTTGTTATTCAACGAAGAAGGTATTTGATTTTTTTTTATACTCAATTTTCTTGGTTTAAAATTGTGAACAAACACAATTTCTCTAGTTTGATTAAAATTTTTCTAGTTTGGTTAAAACAATTTCTTTGGTTTAAAATCATTGTGCTAAAATTTCTCTGGTTTAGTTAAAATAATTTTCTTTGGTTTAAAATTGTAAACAAATACAGAGAAATTTGTGAACAAAGTCAGAGGAATTCTTTATAAATAGAGCCAAAGAAATTTCAATTCTATGTGAACAAAGCCAGAAAAATTTGTGAACAAAGCTGGGACCATGAATTCGTTTAGTAACTTGCTACTGTGGATCTTGAACGGGGCTTCATCTGAAGGGTTCAACTCATTTCTCTCGATATTTAGAGACGTGCGAGATCAAGGAGGCCAAGATTATCTAGATCTAGCCAGGTAAGAAAATCATACAACATAAAATGCTCACTAAGGATTGGAATGTTGGTTGGTCCTTATATTTTTTAAATGTTTAATTCTAATGTCAATTGTAATGGCTTTTGTAGAAATATTAGTTTGTACATAAATAATTGCATAAACTGGATATGGAGTAATGGTCAACAACAATAGTATTGTTAATAAACAAAAGTTGAAATAGGAAAAGGAAAAGGAAAAGAAATTCTCTAGTTTAAACTCAGAGAAATTTCAATTTTCTCTGATTTGAACCTAGAGAAATTTAGTGTTGGACATGTGTAAAAATTCTCTGTGATGTCTCCAGAGAAATTTGGTGTGGGTGATGTGCAAAATTTTCTCTATGATGTGTCCAGAGAAATTTAGTGTCGGTGATGTGTAAAGTTTTCTCTATAATGTGTCTAAAAAAATTTGAAATTTTCTCTGTAATGTGTCCAGAGAAATTCTCTAGATCAAATTTTCTCTGGCCTTAATTTTCTCTGGATTGATGTTGAGGGACCTTAGACATTATGAAAGTATTGAGTGTTCTTTATACTCTAAAATCTTAATACCAGGGACCTTAAAAAAAATCCCCAAGATTTTATAGTATAAAGGACACTCAATATTTTCATAATGTCTAAGGTCTCTCAACATCGATCTAGAGAAAATTCAATCCACAGAATTTCTCTGGACACATCATAGAGAAAATTTCAAATTTCTCTGTATACATCACAAAGAAAATTCCAAACAGGTCAGAGAAAATTGAAATTTCACTGAATTCAAACTCTTTTAACATATATTGCAAACAAGTCAAAATCTTTCAAACCCCAAACATCTATAATCTCATGATGAGCTTAAAATTTACTCAAAACCAAAACATTGCACATCATGGTTGGTGAGCATTGAAACCAAGAAATATACACAAACAAACTATAGATTTCCAAATCAAAGAATTTCTCTGGTCCAAACTAGAGAAATTCAATGAAAAATTTAATCACACCAAAGAAAATTCAACTTTATAGAGAAATCTTACCAGAATTTCTCTAGACTCACTTCAACCTAGAGAAATTCTCTCAGTCCAGAGAAATTCACTTCAGCTCTAAAGAAATTCACAAAAACCCCAAAGAAAATTTCTCTAGATTTTTGTAGAACTTTTTAGTTCATAAATTTGTGGGTCATTTGATCAATGGTGAATATTGTAGTTTGTAATTCCAGTCTTGTTCAGATTTGATTTTTGGTTTGTTTTAACTCATTAACAGTTGTTGCAATAAATTTATGTGATGATTGGTTTTTTGAAGATGTATTCAATAATTTCTCTGGATTTCATAAAATAATGTGTCTTTACAATCCAAAGAAAATTAAAATGAACCCAGAGAAATTTAAATTTTCTCTGGTTTATAAATGAACCTAGAGAAATTTTCTCTGGTTTACTCAAGGCTCCAAGGTCAAGGATATGGCCTCACAGAAACGTGTGCTGGAGCTGCTTTTACTAAGTGGGATGACACTTCTGTTGGGCGTGTTGGTCCGCCACTTCCTTGTTGCTACATCAAGGTATTTCATCTTCCGTTTGCCAGGAAAGGATCGAATTTCATAATTTCATAACAATAATATTTTTCTTCTAGGTGGATTAGGTTGATCATATTTGTGATATTGAGCATACAATACTTGAAATGATTTAAAGTTACCTTTGATATCAGAGTCATTACTCCCGCAATTACAAACTTACGCAATCCGTTAGTGACAGTTAATGTCAAAGACTAGTTGATTGGTGAATATTACAAACACAAGTTATAAGAGAAATTTGAATTTGAATTTGAATTTGAATTTGAATTTGAATTTGAACTCAGAGAAAATTAGCCAAAATGAACTCAGAAAAATTCAAATTTGAATTTGAATTCAGAGAAAATTGGTCAAAAATTTGAATTCGAAATTTGAATTTATTCCAACAAGTGAGAGATTCAACAAGGCCGTCACTGCGTGTTCTTGCGTCATTGGATCTATAGATCTGAGCAAGTATACTGAATGGAAAATATAAAAATAAGCTTTTGTTCGTAATGTTCCTCCAGCGTAAAAGATTACACTGGGACTGCTTAAAGGATAAAAGTGAAGAAAAAAAAATAGATATATGTTCACACCAAGAGCAAGAAAAGAATTGGATGCATGATATAGAACAACAAATGTAAAAAATGAATCACTTCAGAACTTGATTAGTACTTGTTCGCCCTTCAGACTAGCAAGAGCATCCAAGTGGTTTCGCACTGATGGAGTAGGCCTTGAGATATCTAAATCAACCTTCATTCGTTTCTTTATTTTGACACAAGCATGATCGTGTGGTGATGTACTTTGCGAATCTCAACAAATCGCTTGGTTTCTTCTTCTACGTGACCCAATTGAGCTTGAACCTTCTCCTTGGCATTGGGAGACAGAGATGTGAGCCGATCTACATCGGCGGCAATTCCGACGGTGATGAAATCGACTTCGACACTGATGGTATTTGAGGTGGTGGTGGTGGTGGTGGTGGTGGGAGTGGCCATTGAAGGGAGTGAAGTGAAGTTTGGATTTAGAGAGAGAGAGAGAGAGAAATGACATTTGATTTGAGAGAATCAAATTTCTCTGTGATATATAAGTGTAGGGTTGAAAGACCTTAGACATCATAAAATAATATTGTGCATCTTTTCCATTACTAAAAATGGAGGAGGGACCTTAGAGTAATTTTCCATAAAATCTTAATATTAGGGATCTTAAAAAAAAAGCCCCATAAAAGAATAATGCTATATATATATATATTAATTAATGTATTAACTAGTATACTAATAGATGATATGGTATAATTTTAAAGGTTTTAGATATTTGTATTTTGTATAATAGGTGAGGTCAGTAATAATGACATAACATTAATTGATAGAATGGTATGTACATTAATTGGTACATATAAAACAACCGCATATAAAAAATTCAAAAATTCCTTCTTATTCATTCTACTTTTTATATATATTTTCGTTAAAAATTAAAAAAATCATTTCTAAACATATTTCACCATTGATTTATTCTTCATTTTTGAAAATTAAATTTTTTTATTTCGCGTATTTTTATTTTGTTTCCATGAATTTTTTTAATATTTCAAAAAAATAGTTTTTAGATACACAAAATATAAATACAATTAAAAAGTATTTATGAAAAAAAAACTTTAAAAAATCACTAAATACCAAAAATATAATAAAAAAATACAAAAAATAATATATTTTTATATTCTTGTGTATTTATTAATTTTTTAAAATATTTTTCACAAATATTTTACTTTATAAATATATCTAAGTTAGGTGCATTTAGAACGTAAACAAAATTACTTAAAATATTTAAAAAATTTACTAAAAACACAAAATAAAATACTCAATTTTCAAAAAATCAATCAAAATCAAATAAAGTCCTGTTGCCTTAAAGGTTAAATTTCTCTCAAGTTCAAATATGAATTTGAGAGAAGTTGAGTAGCCTACAAGACCAACCACGAGTCATGTTTTGATAGTCCGAATTGTTCATTTTATAAGACCATCCATATATATCATTCATAAAAAAAATTAAATCAATCCAATAATCATAATATTTTTTACATTTTATTATGTTTGTCTCTAAAAAAATGAATGATTTATTATTAAAAATATATTTATTGAAAAACAAGCAGCTATTGTGTTTTTCAACACATTGTAGATTGTTCAAATTTTTATTTTTTGTAAATTACATGCACTTCATTATTATTATTATTGCCATTTGCTAAGAAAAGAACTTCAATAACCATAAAGATGATACAATAGTTTTTGATAATATGACCATACAGATCAAGATTCATCACAAACACAAGACCATCTTCGAAATAAGCCTCAACTAAAACAAAAGCAAACAGCCTACAACACAACAACAACAACCCAAAAAAAGAAAAAACTACACAACATATACTAATAAATAGATCATCGGACCAAAAACAAAGACTCTAAAATAACCGACTCTTGCATTACAGAGTCTGACATGCATTCATATGGATTCACGCACTAAGAAAGTAAAGAGAAAAAAAATAGTCAAAAGAACATAACCAAATGGACATACAACAGCAATGTCTATACATATGCAAAAACAATTGAGAGGATGTGTAACAAACACTTCAATCTCTCTTTTGCCATTGAGAACTCAAATTGAGTGGGTAAAGATCAGAGGCAGATGTGGTGTCAGTCCATGGCCCATCAGTTGAGATACTGTGGCTATGGCTGTCACTCGTGCTCATTTCAGGGCTGTATTGGAACCGGTTATCTGTCTTCTCGGGCTCTATACCATCAATTGAAAAACTTTGAACCTCAACTTTGCCTTCAAGCATGCTTACCACTGAAGACATTGTAGGCCTGCTTGCTGCTGTGGCATTAGTGCATAGCAGAGCTACATTAAGCATCACCATCACTTGTTCTTTGTTGAAATCTGATTCCAACCTCGGATCCACAAGCTCCATCAAATTCCCTTTCTCCTTTAAGTCCAGCGCCTACACACACGCAGGACAGTTTGTTTTAATGGAAAATGAAAAGTTGCAAGCTTTTAATATAGAAATTCAATATCTAAAACACATTCTATTTTATTATTTCAAGAAAACCTAAAAATTTCCACACATGAAGAAACATGAGGAAGTCTCACATTTTATACCAAAGGAATTATTTATTAAAGCTAATTACTATATTAAAATGTTCTATAATTATGAACAGGACCACTCAAATACAAAGGACATCCAAATAAGAATTAATTAACCAAATAGGTCAATTTTTCCCATCGTTAAGAATAAATATATTTCTTAATTGATAAAGGATTGACCTCCTTTTTTATGCAAACACAAGCTTTTCAAAGAAAATTTTCCTTGATATAAATAATTAAAACAAGAAACAATATACATAAGAAAGCAAGATTTACAAGTTACCAACTCAAGAAGATTAATGGAATCCTCCTTTCTCCTGTAACTACCAGTGGCACTCCTCCCAAAGACAATTTCTAAGGCCACAACTCCGAAACTATAAACATCTACCTTGTCAGTTAAGTAACCCCACATTGCGTATTCAGGTGCCATATACCCACTGCAAAATACAAAATAAAACATCACCATTGTTTTTGTGACATGTTGTCATGTATATACCTCTATCGATGTAGTCGATAATATGCACTGCTTTATTTCCACAAGGACATACCTAACATTAGGTCATTGCCTTTGAGGATTTCTGGGGAAACAAATTATGATACTAATTTTTTTTTTTTTTTTTTTTTTAAATTTTGGCAGTGAATTCATTGGTTGCACCAACAATAATCATAATAATGATAATAACAAGAACATTTTCAACCAAAAATATAATATAAATAATTCATTAACAAAAATAAGAATGACAGCTTACTAAGTTCCCACAATCCGAGTGCTTATGTGGGTATTCTCTTCTTCATCAAGCTTTGCAAGACCAAAGTCAGATATCTTAGGATTAAGGTTTTTATCAAGCAACACATTAGTGGCCTTGATGTCTCTGTGGACAATCTTCAGTCTTGATTCTTCATGTAGATAAGCCAAACCTTTTGCAATGCCAATACAGATCCTGTTCCTAGTTGGCCAGTCTAGTGTTAACCGGTGTTCTTCAGGTCCTTCAGATCACCAAATGATTAAAAACTCAAAAATATTAATATGCTAAAATATGTGTTTATTTTCTGATACCAAGATCATGCAATTGAGTGAAGCATGAGGTTGAAATTTACCAAACAAAGCACGAGCAAGGCTGTTATTTTCCATGTACTCATATACTAGCAATAGTTGATTTCCTTCAATACAACATCCATAGAGCTTTACCAAATTAGGGTGTTGTAAGGCAGAAATCATGCCTATCTCATTCACAAACTCGCGATTTCCTTGATTTGATTTGGAAGAAAGCTGCTTCACAGCAATCACAGTGCCATCCAATAAAAGGCCCTTCATTTCAAAACAATGTCAATTACAAATTGTTGAATTACTATTAACACCAGGAAAAAGAAAATCTACCACAAGATACCTTATACACCGCACCAAAACCACCCTCTCCAATCTTATTAGCAACATCAAAATTCTTTGTGGCAGCTATAATTTGCCTTAAGGTAAATGAACCAGTATGTAGGTCTAGACCCTTCAGATCTGTGGAAGAAGCTCAACTAGATAAGTAAGCACATTCAATAAAGTCAAGAGGCTCGTTCCTAATAATTTGCATTAAAAAAAAAAATTCACCCTCATCTTCTATGCTCGAAGAAATCAAAAAGTCCCACTTGACCTAGATATGTCAAAATAAAGCACTCCCACAATGAGCAAATCAAACTTGTATTGCATTAATCCTAATTCCTAAGGTAGTGTTTGCATTAATCCTAATTCATGGACCTCCCAATGGAAGGACCATTCTCCTAAATTGGTGAATGGCGAGTCTATTTGGAATGTACATTTCTTTCCTTTTTAATGAACCAAACATGGCAATGAATATTTTAATTGAATAACAATTCCATTCAAACCTTTAATCCAGTGAACCAAATACTCGTTTGGATTCTAAAAAAAATTATGGACAATAAAAACTATTGAACCATGACATGTTTACATAACTTATTCGGGTAAATAACATAACAAACATTGAAATTTTTTTTTTAAAAAAAAAACACCATTGATGGTGAGTATGATAATTATTACTATCATAATTATCCAGAGTTTGTATAATTGATTTTAATACCATGTTCCATCGTATTATTGTTTTGTAGACATCCTTTCCACCAAAGAATACCCAGCATTAGGAAGATAACAAATACTACTCCAACCACAATTCCAACTATACTGCCTGTAGATATAGATGCATTACTCCCATTCTCTGATGGATCAAAATCTGCATGAACCCAAAAACAGATACACCAACGAGATGAAATTGTTAAGGTGATTAATGAATGGGATCCAAGCAAACAAAAAACAATCAAAAAGGAAAAAGGACAATAATTTATTATCTATGTTCTCTCTTTAAACTTCACATTTTAAATATACAGGAAAATCTCATGTTTACATTTATTAGCTTCCTGGCTTGCTTGACATTGCAATAAAGGCTTAGATACAACTAAAATAATTCCATTACCATGTACTCACATGGTTACTCATGTTCAAAAGTCAAAACTCAGAAGGACTCCCACAATTTAAATCACTTTTATTAACTAACAATTGTAAATGAACATAAATGTAAAATCATTTTTGCTTAGTTGGAATGTGGAACTATCCCAACAATAACCCCGGCAAAGATAAGAAGGCCAACGAAAAATGACCACATTTTGACATGAATAAAACCATTGAGATGTCAATTTCTATTTATAGAAGAATGATATCTTGCTGCCTGCAAGAAAATTTGTTCCATTGGCAATGTAATCAAAACCAACATAAAGGAGTAATGAAAGCAATTAAACTGTCCTCTTTTTCAACCTTTCACGGTTCAGTATCATCAAAATCGATTTATTAGTATTATGGTTTGCCTAACTATTTTAGAAGGCTCTCCAGAAACAACATTTATATGAATGCATCCAATTTTGTGAATCATCAGACATATAAAGGTAAAGAAGTAATCACCTAATGCTAATAGTTGAAATCATAATTGTCATTATGGGAAATAGATATGGGAAACAGAAACGTGAAAAATGGTCAAAAAAATATTATTGGAAACTAGATATGATAGGTCATATAGGATCGAGTAGAATATGTAAAAGCAAATATTTTAGAAGCCTTGAAATAACAATATAAAGCCTTTGACTACTTTCATACTTGATTAAAATACTAATGTTAAACAATATATGAAGAAACTTGCAAGAACAGTTACATATTGTTGTTAAAAAATAAGCTTTGCACGCATGAAACATAGAAAAAGTTGTGATAAAAGTGTTTCTAGAAAGTTTTTCCAACATTTCCTAAGAGCTTATGACAAGTTCTTTAAAATTCATGTTGGGTTTGTCTCCTTTCTAGAATCAAGTTTTCATAGAACAAGTTTCATACATCAAAGAGATCTCCTAGTAACTATGGTTGATACTATAAATTGAGGTAATTTGTTTACCGGACATTTAGTGAAAAAGGGAAGACTCATTATAATAAGTAGGTAATTCTACCTAAGCCACAACAGAAAATATGTTCTCTTATACAACTGAAGCCACAAGTTCTGAAGCAACAAGAGAGAGAGAAAGAGCTGTATAGATATAAGAGAGATGGCAATACAACTGTAAAGTAGTTAGGAAAGCAGTTAGAGTTTGTTAACCATTTCATATAAATGAGTGTAAACACAATTTAATTTCCACATTGAGAATATAGTTTCAACTTCTGTTACGGTATCAGAGCCTTTACAAGCTCCTACGAGCAAGGTCTAACAATGGTGATTTCATCTTCTTCTTCAAATTCTCAATCTATACCATCAAATCTAAGTCTTCTTCTTACAAATTTCAATTCATTAGTCACTGTTAAACTTGATTCGTCAAAGTTTTTGATTTGGAGAAGTCAACTTCGGAATGTTCTTAGAGTAACTGATCTTCTTGATTTCGTTATTGGTTTGATACCTTTTCCTGTATCTGATATTCTTGATTCCTCTGGAGCAACTGTATCAAATCCTGAATTTCTATAATTGAAGACAATGGATGCTCATCTTCTGAGTTTCATCACTACAACACTCTCACCTTCTGTATTTTCTTCAGTACTTCATCACCAACACTGCTTCAAGTCTGGAGTGCTCTCGAAAAGAAATACACTTCATTATCTTATTCTCATATTCATCATCTGAAAAATCAGCTACAATAACCACAAAAAGAGGTGCTACGATGGAGGAATATTTTACTAAGATCAAGGAGATTTCCAATCAGCTTCGACTTGCTTCTTCAATGGTTGATGATGAAGATTATGTACTTCTTACTCTAAATGGATTACTTGATGAGTATGATGCTCTCAAGACTGCAATCCGAGCTCGAGTAGAATCTATTTCAATGGAGGATCTGTGCTCTCTCCTATGTTCTGAAGCCATACATATTGAGAACAAAGCCAAACTTGTTCTGCAAAATGAGTCTACAGTTGATTATTCTACAACCAAAAATTCTGAGAATTCCCAACCTTATTCTCAGTATTCAAGGACTCATTCCTGTGCACAGTCTAGTTACAGAGGCAGAATTCCTTCTCGTGGCTTTCGAGGTGGACGATATAAAGGAGGTCGACCAAATCGATCTTACAGAGTAAGATTTGGAGGAACCAGTCCTAGTTCTTCTAATCCTTCTGGTTGCCAGATATGTGGAGGCTTCAATCATATTGCTTTAGATTGTTGGTTTCGTATGGATCCCAACTATTAGCCATCTCAATCTTCTTCATCCTCTATTCCTTCCATGCCTCTATCTAAGGCTTATTCAGGCACAACCAATCCAAATTCATCCAATCAGAATCAGACTTCTTTTCCTACAGATTCCTCTGCTACACCTTGGCATATTGATTCTGCTGCCACAAATCATATCACCAATGACCTTGGAAATTTTCATCTCTATCATCCATACCAAGGACATGATCAAGTGACAGTTAGAAATGGTCAAAATGTTCTTATTCAATACATTGGTAAGGGTCTGCTGCCTACTCCTCAATATTCTTTTCAGCTTAATAATCTTCTGCATGTTTCTTACATTTCTTCCAAACTCTTATCTGTTCATCAATTAGCTAAGGATAATAATTGTACAGTTACTTTTGATGCTAATTCCTTTGTTGTTCAGGACAAGCTTACGAAACAGGTTCTGCACAGAGGTCCTAATGTGCATGGTCTTTACCACTTTGCCTCTTCTTCTCCATAATCTTATCTAGCTCATTTTGCTCATACTTCCTCATAGTTACACATTGTTATTTGGCATCAAAGGCTTGGACGTCCTTCACCTCTGAAATTTCATCATATTACACAACATATATCCCCTAGTTTTAAGAATAAAGACATTAATCCTTTCAATGTTAACAATTTCCATATCATATTCAATTGCATGATATATATAACACATCCAACAATGTAATCAACATATACAATGTTACACTAATCTTCTATAATGAAACAAGTTTCAAGATACACCCATTTACCAAAACATACTCAATGTTTTACAACTTAAGACATATGTAAAGCTCTTAAGTTCAAGAGAGAGATGTGGTGTGTGTGTTATATGATGGTTCTGCGGATATATACCGCACTACCATTAACAGTTGTCTTTCCTATCCTCGTCTCTTATTTTATGTATTTTCTTGTTTTGTATACTGCTCCAACCAAGTTGGTTAGTTCCTATCCCCTATGAGTTTTTGCGGGAAGCAGCTGTAAAAATATATATATCTCACGTTAACTACGCCTGGCTAAGACTGGATCTCCGGTCTCTAATGTTGTGACTGGGTCATCTAACAACTATTTATGCATCCAGCTTAAACCAAACCACCTACACCATACCCCACCTCACCTACTCCACTAAACCTAACCCACTACAAACCACGTACCACTACCACTCCACTTCACCTACTCCTTACCTACTAACACTCCCCTTTTCTATATATAGAATCATGATCATTGTAATATACACAAATAATTCAATATAAATCAATCAATTAATACAATTTCTCTATTTCTCTTTATACATAAATTTCCTACACTTACAATTTACTTTGTTGGCGTTGGCAAAATGAATCTGAATCAAACGATGGAGCTTAAGTTGTTATAGGATAGATCGCTGCACACAAATGCAACATTTAGGATTCTTCTTATTTCTTGAAATGGTCAAATATAAAAGTAAAGACTATTTTTCAATGCCATGCTAGTTGGAAGTGAAATTAAAACTATTAAAAAAAATATTAAAAACAACATACTATCTGGCCCCTTTTTTTCTTTTTTTTTTTTCCCACCGGTGTGTGTGGGTAAAAGCCCGTGTAAATATCTGACAATC